TGACTGTTAGCTTAAGGCTCATGGAACCATCAATTTAACATTTAATGATATTTAAACTAAAATGTGATACCCTGCAAACATTTCAGCTATTGTATGTAAATTTAGAAAAATATTGATGGGTAGGAAAACAGCTCCTACTCTCTATTTTCTCACAAAGTTGTATTTCTCATTTAAGTATGTGCATTTATCAACAAATGTCTGTCTCCTCCTTGCCTGGTTCACTTCTAGAATCAAACATTAGCATGCAGAGAGTCACCCAAAGAACTTAGAAAACAGATTGGGAGCAAAGGCTCCCCTTCAATAACGTGGTGAAAGCTACCAGTTGTGTATCTAACTACCTGCTGGGTCACAATGATGACCCCAGAGCATGGGCCACACTCCGCTAGGGCTAGTAGTGATAAGACATTAAACAGGAAAAATTAAATAATTCCCTTCACAGAGCTTCTTTGCTAACGGCAGGAGGGAGATGATTAGGCAGAGTATGTTATGTGAGATGGAGAGAAGTGCTATGAAACACAGAGGGGAGAGGGGTACAGAGTGGGAGTCACCACCGACAAGGCAATGCTAAAGGCTGAGAGGAGGTGAGAATTCCGGAGGAAAGAACAGACCACAGAGAGACAGAAGGCAGAAGCCCTGGGGCTGGAGCTTCCCTGGCTTGCTCTAGGCTCAGCCAGGAGGCCAGCTCCAGGCGGGTGGGGAAGACAGCTGAAGTACAAGGCTTCTGTGATTCAGCAAGTTGACTTTTACTCTGAATGAGAAAACCAAAGAAAGATTTTGAGCAAAAGACTTGGGTGACATATTTTCAAAAATCATTCTGGTCAATACATGGGACTAGATTATAAGAAGGCACAAACAGGGAAAACAGAAGGGAAACTACTGCAAAAATCCAAATCATAAAAGGTGTTTGGACATGGTGGTGGCCTTGGAGATATTTAAACCCTCAAGTGCAACTCGGGTTGGCACATGCACCACATGTGAACTTCCTCTTTCCCAGGAGTCACAGGTCATCTCAAACTGTCAGCTCTCCTGGGACAGGGCAATAGCAAAAGAAAGAAGCACATGTCCTTTAAAAGAGTAATCATTCTGACTTTTTGTTGATTCACCAAGTCCTACTCCACGTGATGATCAGAAACTCATTCGAGGGCCAAGCGCTTAGCAAGGCAGTTAAAACACCACTTGGGGGTGCCGGCGCTGTGGCATAGCAGGTAAAGCTGCTGCCTGCAGTGCTGGCATCCCGTATGGCCGCCGGTTTGAGTCCCGGCTTCTCTACTTCTGATCCAACTCTCTCCTATGGCCTGGGAAATAGTGGGAGAGGCCCAACTACTTGGGCCCTTGCATCCACATGGGAAGACCCTGAAAAAGCTCCTGGCTCCTGGCTTCGGATCGGCGCAGTTCCAGCTGTTGCGGCCAATTGGAGTGTGAACCAGTAGATGGAAGACCTCTCTCTGCCTCTCCTCTGTGTAACTCTTTCAAGTAAATAAATAAATCTTCTAAAAAAATACCTCTTGGGACTTGGGTAATTTTACCCCATTTCAGAGTGCCTGGGTTCTATTCAGGATTCTTACACCCATTTCCACCTTCCAGCTAATGTGCACTCAGGGAGGCAGCAGGTGATGGCTGGGTCCCTGCCACCCACGTGAGGGACCTGAATTCTGTTCCACCCTTTGCCTACAGAAATCCGGACAGAAATGCTACAGTGGTGATTGGATAGAGGAGACTTGAGTTTGGGAAGTAAGTCAGGGACAGAGATACTCGTCTGAGAATGAAAAGCCTATCATGGTACTTACCTTCAGTAAGGCAGGAGAGGATCAGCAGAGTGAGTATAAAGTTTGAGAACTAAGCTTTGAGGACTAATAAGAGAGTAAGAATAACAGTATCAGAGGGGCGTAACCTAATAAGGAGAGGAGATTTAATTCAAAGCTTAGTACTTTTACTACCCATCATTATCATTAGTTCTCAGGACCCTAGACCCTAATTCCCAGTGACTTCTCTGATACCTCCATTTATTTTTTTAATTAAGATTCCAATTATCGAATTTTCAAGGGTATTTCAAAAATTCATGGAAACGGAGTCAAAAATTGGTGTCAAAAATTTTGGTTTTATACAAGTATACATATGCGGGTGACCCTTGAAGAGTATGGGTTTGAACTGTGTAGGTAAATTTAAATGTGGATTTTCTTTTTTTGAGATTTGTGACCATTCAAAAAAAAAAAACAACTGTAGGTGATATTGAAAATTTGCAAACATATCCAAAAAATTAAGAAGTTATGTCATGAATACATAAATTATTTGTAGATGACAGTCTATTTTATGCTTTATTACCATACTCTATAATAAACAAGTTTATCATATAAAAATTAAAATCCATCAAAATGTATCAGAAAATATATACTATTAAGGATACCAGGCACAGTCAAGAGAATCCAAAGAAATATCAAGTTGCAGTACTACATCCCAACTAACTGCATAGAACGGACTGCAGTATGCACCGCACTACTGAAATCATTCTGCAGTCACCCCAGTTGCTATCATCAGAGCCCACGTGTCTGTATTATTCACTTTAAACCCCCTGTGACTCCCATCATCTCCATGGAAACAGTTCCTCTGTGCAATAAATTACATATCACACTCGATGGTGATCTATCATAGCTGTCATTTTTCACTGTAAATGATGCATGCTACATATGGAATATGCTTCTGTTGTCGATAAAGCTTCCAGGCAACAGCAGGCTAGTTAAGTTTTGTGGAAGCCGAAAGTTATACACAGAGTTTTGACTGTACGGAAGCAGCCCTTGTGATGTTCAAGGTTCATTGTTGTTGTTGTTGTTAAAGACTTATTTTGTTTATTTGAAAGGCAGAGTTATAGAGAGAAGGAGGGAGAGGTATAAAGAGATCTTCCACCTGCTGGCTCCCTCCCCTAATGGGCGCAGAGGCAGGGGCTGGGCCAGGCCAGAGGCCAGATCCTGAAGCTCCTTCCGTGGTGGCAGGGGTCCAAGCACTTGGGCCATCCTCCACTGCATTCCTAGGTGCTTTAGCTGGGAGCCGGATTGATAGTGGAGCAGCTGGGGCTCCATATAGGATGCTGGCTTTGCAGGCCAAAGCTTAACCCATTGCACGTAACGCTGCCTCAGGAATCCGTAATTTTCTCTGGTGCCTTGACGTTCCTTTGCCCAAACTGTTCATGTTTCGTATTTCCAAGCCTATTCTTTCCACATTTTCCCTTCTCTGTGCATCCTAACTACCTCTCCTCCCCCAGCCCACCCTCCCCTGGCTTGGGCCCACTTAGCATCCAATGCACACCTACTTTTTTTCACCCTTTCATCTTTATTACACAACGTAGAAATTGTCATTTTTGGTCTGGTTTGAGCGATTCTACTAGACAGTGAGTTCATTTCCACATACCCTTCCTCCACTCCTGCAGCCAGTTCCAACAAACCCAAAGTCTCCAGCAGCTTCCAAAACATTCTCAGCCGTATTCAAATTGCTTTCCTGGGCAAAGAATGTAGTCAGTCTGCCTGCTAGCTACCAGCCCCCTTCCCTTTGGTCCTTTCTCTAGGGGGGGATGGGGGAAGCCATCCCAGACTTATGCAGAGATCCCCTTCAGCAAAGGACAAAACTTCTGGGGCCTGCTGTTTAGAGAGCACTGGGTTATTTGGTGGCTTTGGCAGCCCCCACTGACCGGGCGGCTGGCTGAAGCCAAAAGTCAAGTTTCTCCTCCTTTTCAAGAATCGCATCCTATTTCTAACCAGATAGAGATTATCTCCTTGAAGCTGGCTGATTCAGTTCCACTCACTCTCTCCCCTCACTCTCTATTCTTAGTCTTGCCCTCGAGAGCTCTTTGCTTTGGACCCAGACATACAACCCTCTCACAGGTTAGCAGCTCCTTTGCGTAGCACACAAAGGTCAGCTTGTGTGGGAATTTAGTTAGGTGGAGACTTGGGTAGCAGAATGTAGGGTAGGACGCAAAATACATAATTATGATTTGTTCAGGGTTTCCTTTTAGCAGTGAGTTTGGAAAAGAGGAAGAAATCTTGGGTTTCTTGAATGTTGGACTAGGGAATGGGGAGGAAAATGGAGATTTCATTAGTGCTGGAGCCAGCTCTTAAAGGCACGCTCGCCACTCCACATGTCCCCAGGTCGGTGGAGTGGGCATGAGGTGAAATTGAAGGCCATGACAACACTGCCAGGCCCGAGAAGGAAGCGTTCGTTAAAGAAAGAACCAGAGGGAAAAGAGCCAAAAGAGGTTGACTACCTGGGGAAGAGGGACAGACCAGAGCCCAAGCATCGCGTACCATCAGGGTTCCCCGAGGGTTTCATGTCAGCGGGTCACAGGCCCTTTCCTCTGGCTTTTGTTAAAAACCAGCATTCGTTTTGGAAAGGCTTCTCTGTCTTTCTGGAAACTACAGAGATCGAAGAAACTAAGGTGGAGTGGAAAATGGATGCCTTTTTATCAATGATGCCTTAGCCCCATGACCTTGGGGTGAACAGAGGAGGAAAGAGGAAGTAGCTGAAATTTCTCCCAAGAAGGGGGGTGCTTCCTGAGTTTAAACGTGGCAACGTGGTAGACCTACAAGGATGCAGACTCGAGGTTTATTTTGTCTCAGGTTTTCTACTTCCCCACCCAGTCGGGGCTGTGCTTTTCGCATCACAATGGCCTAGATGAGACTGGCAGACGGGATTAACAGAAGACTCTTGAGGGTGTGTGTGTGTGTGGGGCAGGGGGTTGTGGGAGTGAGGCTGCCTGGAGGGGTGGGTCCAGGGTGTGATAGAGTCTTCCAAATAAATCTAGAGACTCTAAAGCTTCGCGCTATTGCCGGGTTGCACTGGCTGCCTTCTGTTATTGACGGGGGATCCTGTACTTTTTCCTGTCCTTTTCTGATCATTTGACCTTTGGAAAACTTCCATTTTCTCCAAGACCTTCCGCCTGCTTGTTTAATTCTTAAAGTCAGTCTTGTTCACAGTCAGCTCCTTGAATTGCTTTTACCCCCCTTCTCAATAACATGAGTGTGGATCCAGCTTGTCCAGCAAGTCTACCAGCCTCAGAAGCACTTGATGATCAGGACTCTTCACTGATGCCCGTGGTGCCCGAACCTGAAGGGAAACATCCAACCTTGCAACTGCCATGTGCCCAGGTGCCTCTTACAGACACCGGTAAGGAAAATGCAATGCCTAACTACGAGCCGTTCTTGAGGGGGGAGAGAGAAGGAAAGGAGATTATGGGTCATCTTGAACAATGATATCCCATTTTGTAGGCGCGTGTAATCTACAAACGTCCAGATGCCCTTTTTTCCATCATAACTTGATGGCATGTGCCTTTTTAATAATGTCCCAGGTCTCAGGAGCTGTGGGGCTGAGGTGAGGGACAAGGAACCGGCAGTTGGGCCATGATGCTGTGTGTTGAAGAACCTGTGTGTGTAGGCATTTTGGAAACAAATTGAATTGTGATGATTAAATGTTGATTTCTTAAGTCTTAAGACCTAAGTTAAAATAAATATCGCTGCTAATTTGCCAGAAGAACCACCACCATTATACTGTGCAAGATCGTCAAAAATGTCGTGGCAAATCAAGGTGATATTTACCTAAGTAATACAGAGTTTTCTGTAAATGCGTTCTTTCTACCACCGTAGCACTTGGTTCTTCTCTTGTTGTACGAGGGTGTTATTGGGCAGCTTAACTTTGTGAGCCAACTTTTAATAGGCACTTTTACATCCCAGGGAAGTGTTGACCCAATTTTACGTAAAGATTATTCCAGAAAGTTTAATCTGCTGACAGTCAAGCAGAAGGTGGATAGGATTTGGATCTGAAATCTGTTTTAGCTTCAAAACCAGTGCTAGTCCTCCTGTGAGCTGCAGGGCGGAGGACACCTGGAATACTTGGAAAGCCAATGCCACCCTTTAGGAAATCAATTTGTCAATAGTTAAAAGTTCAAAAACTGTCCAGTTTTTACTGTTTTCCCCATTGTAGCATGAAAAAAGTTTAAAAGCTGCATTTGCCTTATGACTACACTGTAGAAAATAGGTTGTGGAAAGGGAATAAAGAAACACAATTATTATTGACTGGCCTGTTTGAGCTGTCGACATTAATGTTACCCTGCTTTTGTGAACTTTGTGAAGTTTTTGCATTTGTAATTCCAAATGTTGAGAAGTAAAGCCCTGGCTTCCCAGGACGCACTTGAGAAACGCACAGGAGGCATGTCCTTAGCTCGCCAAGTGCACGTTTGAGTGGTAGGTGATTTTAAAAGACTCTTCCCACTTCTAGTCCTTAGATGAGGACTTGATTTTCTTTATCACATCTACGTGGGAGATGCAGGAGATGGTGAATTTCTGCTTTTTAAAGCCAGTCGGTTTATTCCGTGACTACACAGCGGAGTTGGAATTGAACCCTGGGGACGCAGCAGTGGCTCCTAAGTCTTGACACCAAGAGCCTACCTTTTAGTTACCAAGTCAACATACACCAGGTCCTGTGCTACACTGTTTTAATCAGCTACCTCGTGTCAGCCATTGGAGGAATAATTTTTGGAGATGAGATTACAGAGTTAGTCAAAGCAAAGTATGTGAATCAATTCACAATTCCTGCTGGTTCTAGGATTTGGGATTGGACAGTGAGCTGCTGGCTTTATAGCACCCAGAATCTGACTTTGTAATCGCAAAATTATGCAGGTGGCAGTGCAGGTCTGAAACAGGAACCACTATTTACAGAAAGGTGGTTCTATGTAAGATGCAGATATTGCTATTGTACATTGGCAAAGTGTTCAAGAATAAAGACAATGGCCACGTAGGTCTAGGGGTGTGAGGTTTATAAATGCACTTTGAAAACAATGCATTTTAAGTAGAGTATTTTAATATTTGGAGAAAAGTTTTAGAATTGTTGTGGTTGTTTTTTCCCAACAGCCTCTCCGCTTCCTTCCTCCATGGACTTGCCCACTCAGGAGAGCCCCGACTCTTCCACCAGTCCCAGTCCCAGAGTAGTGAAAACTCCCGACTCTGCAGAGAAGAGCACAAAGAAGGAAGAGAAGGTGAAGAAACAGAAGATCAGGACCGTATTCTCCCAGACCCAGCTGTGTGTGCTCAATGACAGATTTCAGAGACAGAAATACCTCAGCCTTCAGCAGATGCAAGAACTCTCCAGCCTCCTGAACCTTAGCTACAAACAGGTACGGCCATTTCGTTGCTGCATTGCGATCAGAAACAAAGCAAGGCCGGTTTGCAGAAGAACCGGTGACCTTGGCTTGCACCTGTGTATCCTGTGCACCCGTCTACAAATAACTTCATTTTAACTTGCATGTGGAATCCCTTATAAGACTTGCTTCTTTACCACCCCCTTTTCATTATATATTCTATTTTTTTTTAAGATTTTTTAAAAATTTTTTTGAGAGTTACAGAGAGAGCTAGAGACAAAAAGAGAGAGAGAGGTCTTCCATCTAATGGTTCACTCCCCAGGTGGCTGCAATGGCTGGAACTGAGCCGATCCGAAGTCAGGAGCCAGGAGCTTCTTCCGGGTCTCCCATGCAGGTGCAGGGGCCCAAGGAAAGGACTTGGGCCATCTTCTACTGCTTTCCCAGGCCACAGCAGAGAACTGGATCGAAAGTGGAGCAGCCGGGTCTAGAATCAGTGCCCACATGGGATGCTAGTGCTGCAGGTGGCAGCTTTACCCTCTGCCACAACACCAGCTCCATTTTGCTGTTGTGTGAATTAATTTAGTCAGCTTCTGAGCCTTGCTAGAAATCAAAACTAAAAATGTTACCAAGTTGTCCCACCCACCTTCCAGGTTAAAAGAGCCCCTAATAAGCACTGGGTCACATTAAAGTTACAGGCGCATCTTTTGTTTCTGTGTGTGTGTTTTATGTGTGTGCTTTTGGTTACTATTTAGGACACGCATTTTCATATATTAGCCGTTGTCTTTTGTCAGTTGCCTTATACTTTTTTTTTAAGATAAAGATTTATTTATTCAAAAAGAATTACAGGCCGGCGCCGCGGCTCAATAGGCTAATCCTCCGGCTGCGGCACCAGCACACTGGATTCTAGTCCCTGTAAGGGCGCCGGATTCTGTCTCGGTTGCCCCTCCTCCAGGCCAGCTCTCTGCTGTGGCCCGGGAAGGCAGTGGAGGATGGCCCAAGTCCTTGGGCCCTGCACCCCATGGGAGACCAGGATAAGAACCTGGCTCCTGCCTTCGGATCAGCGCGGTGCGCCGGCCGCAGCGTGCCAGCCTTGGCGGCCATTGGGGGGAGGGGTGAACCAACGGCAAAAGGAAGACCTTTCTCTCTGTCTCTTTCTCTCTCACTGTCCACTCTGCCTGTCAAAAAAAAAAAAAAAAAAAATTACAGAGAGAGGGTGCGGTAGAGATCCTCCATCTACTGCTGGTTACTCCCTGAAAGGCCACAATGGCTGGTACTAGGCGGGGCCGGGGCCAGGAACCAGGAGCTTCATCTGGGTCTCCCACATGGTAAAGGGCCCCAAGCAGTCGGGCCATCTTCTGCTTTCCCAGACACATTACATTAACAGGGAGCTGGATTGGAGCCCAGACTTAAATCCGCACTTGTGGAATGCTGGCCATGATGCCTGTCCTAAATTTTAAAAATAAATATTTATTTTTTGTAAGGCAGAGTGACAGGGAGAGAGAGGAGAGACAGAAAGAAATCTTCCATCAGCTTGTGTTCTTCCCAAATGGTCATATTGATCAGGGCTGAGCCAGGCCAAAGTCCAGAAGCCTGGAACTCTCTCTGGGCCTCCCTTGTGAGTAACAGGGGCCTAAAGTCCTTGGGCAGTCATCCACAGCTTTCCCAGGTGCATTAGTAGGGAGCTGGATCAGAAGTGGAAAATCAAGGACTTCACCCAGCTCTGTGATAAGGGATGCCACTGTGGCAAGCAACAACTTAACCCAAGGCTCCACAACACCAGCCCCTGCCTTATCTCTGCCTTAATCTCTGTTTCCAGTACAAATATTCAGTTCTTAGAAATAGATTTAAACCCCTCCCCCCCAGGGCCTGCACTGTGGCGCAGCGTGTTAACGCCCTGGCCTGAAGCGCCAGCATCCCATATGGGCACCAGTTTTAGTCCTGGCTGCTCCACTTCTGATCCAGCTCTCTGCTATGGCCTGGGAAAGCAGTAGAAGGCCCAAGTCCTTGGGCCCCTGCACCCGCAGGAAGAAGCTCCTGGCTCCTGGCTTAAGATAGGCGCAGCCCTGGCCGTTGTGGCCAATTGGGGAGTGAACCACCGGATGGAAGACCTCTCTCTCTCTGCCTCTCCTCTCTCTGTGTAACTCTGACTTTCAAATAAATAAATAAATCTTAAAAAAAAAAGAGCTTGCTATCCCTACATCAAAAATGTATAACTTTTTTGATACTGCTTTTCTATGTCTGTTTGGAAAATTCTTCTCTTGGGGCCACTGCTGTGGCAGAGCTGGTTAAGACGCTGCCTACAACCCCAGCATCCCACATGGATACAGGTTCGAATCCCAGCTGCGTGCCTTGGGAAGCAGTGGAGGATAGCCCAAGTCCTTGGGCCCCTGACACTCATGTGGGAGACCCAGATGAAGCTCCTGGATCCTGGCTTTGGCCTGGCCCAGCCACGGTCATTGTAGCCATTTGGGGAGTGAATCAGCAGATGAAAGATTTCTCTCTCCTTCTAACTCTGCACTTTCAAAACAAGAAAAGAAAAAAATTCTTCTATTCCATGATTTTTTTAAAAAAGGTTATATTTATTTATTTGAGAGGCAGAGTTAAAAACAGAATGAGGGAGAAACGTAGAGAAAGGTCTTCTTCCATCTGCTGGATCACTCCCCAGATGGCCCCATCCGCCTGAGCTGAGCTGATCCAGAGTCACGGGTCTTTCACATGGGTGCAGGGGCCAAACACTTCCACTACTTTTCCAGGCCATGAGCAGAGTTGGGAGCAGCGGTGACACAAACCAGTGCCCATATGGGATGCAGCACGAGCCCCTCCATTATTTATTTTTTTTTAAATAGATACAAATACCTCTATCTCTGGTCTTGTGGTCTCTATTTTTTAGTTAATGAATTTATAGAGGCGGGGCCAGCACTGTGTTGTGGTGGGTAAAGCTGCCGCCATCAGTGCTGGCATCCCGTATGGCGCCGGTTAGTATTCCAGCTACTCCTGTTCCAGTCCAGTTTCCTGCTAAAGGCCTGAGGAAGCAGTGGATGACGGCTCGGGTCCCTGGGGCCCTACACCTATGTGGGAGACCCAGAAGAAGCTCCAGCCTCCTGGCTTAGGATTGGCCCAGCTCTGGCCTTTGTGGTCTTTTGGGGAGTGAACCAATGAGTGGAAGACTTCTCTTTCTCTCCGTTTCTGTCTGTAACTCTGTCTCAAATAAGTAATTAAAAAAGTATAAATCATCTGGAAATGTTAGTTTATCATACCCAGAAATATAACTCGATATTTTCCAAATAGATGTTCTAGTGGTATATTCCATAGTTAATGAATTGGGATACCATCATTATCACATTAAATATAATTGTTCTTGCCAGCACCACGGCTCACTAGGCTAATCCTCCGCCTTGCGGCACCGGCACCCCGGATTCTGTTCTGGTCGCTCCTCTTCCTGTCCAGCTCTCTGCTGTGGCCTGGGAGTGCAGTGGAGGATGGCCCAAGTCCTTGGGCCCTGCACCTGCATGAGAGACCAGGAGAAGCACCTGGCTCCTGGCTTTGGATCAGTGCGGTGCGCCGGCCGCAGCGGCCATTGCGGGGTGAACCAATGGAAAAGGAAGACCTTTCTCTCTGTCTCTCTCTCTCTCACTGTCCACTCTGCTTGTCAAAAAAAAAAAAAAATATATATATATATATATATATATAATTGTTCTTGTATGGGGGGTGGGTGTTAAACTGCAAACAGGTTACCTTCAATGGCTTGGGATAAGCCTTACAAGAAGGTAAATGAGTTAACATTTAACTGTAAACTTCATGGCTAGTAGATTTGCAGTTACAACTGGATAGATTTATTTGTGAGCAATCTTTTATTTTTAAGATTTATTTTATTTTCTTGAGAGATAGATCTTCCATCCTCTGATTCATTCCCCCAGTGCCCACATTGGCTGGTGGTTGGCCAGACTGAAGCCAGGAGCTGGAAATTCTTTTTTTTTTTTTTTTTTGACAGGCAGAGTGGACAGTGAGAGAGAGAGAGACAGAGAGAAAGGTCTTCCTTTTGCCGTTGGTTCACCCTCCAATGACCACCGTGGCCAGCACGCTGCGGCTGGTGCACCGTGCTGATCCGATGGCAGGAGCCAGGTTCTTATCCTGGTCTCCCATGGGGTGCAGGGCCCAAGGACTTGGGCCATCCTCCACTGCACTCCCTGGCCACAGCAGAGAGCTGGCCTGGAAGAGGGGCAACCGGGGCAGAATCCGGCGCCCCGACCAGGACTAGAACCCGGCGCCCCGACCGGGACTAGAACCCGGTATGCTGGTGCCGCAAGGCGGAGTATTAGCCTAGTGAGCCGACGCGCCAGCCAAGGAGCTGGAAATTCTTCTGAGTCTCCCACGTGGGTGTCAGGGACTCAAGTACCTAAGCCATCACCTGCTGCCTCCCAGGGTGCTCGTTAGCCGGAAGTTGGAATAGAGAGCGAGCCGGGACTCAAACCCAGGCACCCTACATGGGAAGCAGCAGCCCCAAGCATCTTAGCACCGAATGCCCACCCCACCAGCTAGATTTATTGAACAAGCAGCTAGCTCACTTGAGGCTTGGGAATTCATAGAATACTGTTTAAAGATTGAGAAAGAATGCATTAAAATTCAGATTTAGTTCTTGAACATTCCACAGCAGTAGCTGTCAGGAACAGAAGTTGACAGTATTCTTTGACTGAAAGCATGTCAGCATTACTAGTATTTTATAATGTTTTTCACTTCTCCCTACAGGTTAAAACCTGGTTCCAGAACCAAAGAATGAAATGTAAGAGGTGGCAGAGAAACAATTGGCCAAATATTTGCAACAGTGTGACTCAGGTAATGGGACACTTTAGCTTGATTTTTTTTTTCTTAAAGTTTATTTACTTATTTGATAGGCAGAGTAACAAAGAGATCTTCCACCTACTGGTTCACTCCCCAAGTGGTTGCAACAGCTTGGGGGCTGAGCCAGGCCAAATTCTGGAGCTTGGAACTCCATTTGGGTCTCCCATGTAGGTGTTCGGTGTACAAGTACATGGGCCATCTTCCACTGCTTTCCCAGGCACATTAGCAGGGACTTGGATTGGAAGCAAGGCATTGAACCTGAGCAAGACTTGAACCTGTACTCTGATATGAGATGGTGCCCTTGCAGGCAGCAACACCAGCCCCAGACACTTGATCTTTCTGCTCTTTTCCATGTCCTTTTAGTTTTGTCTATCCTCAAACCACACCACTCCAACCACAGGCAGTTCCAACTATCCTTGCAGCCTTTTTAGTTAATCCACCCTTCTCTTTCAGAAGGGCTCAGGCCCTGCAGAATACCCAGGCTTCTACCCTGCTTACCACCAGGGGTGCCTGGTGAACACACCTGGAAGCCTTCCCATGTGGAACAACCAGACTTGGAACAACCAGACTTGGAACAACCCAGCTTGGAACAGCCAGTCGTGGAGTAACCATTCCTGGGACAGTCAGGCCTGGTACTCCCAAGCCTGGAACAATCAGGCCTGGAACAGTCCCTTCCTTAACTGCGGAGATGAAGTGCTACAGTCCTCCATGCAGCTCCAGCAGAATTGTCCTGTCAGTGACTTGGAGAGCATCTTGGAAACTGTTGGGGAAAGCCAGAACACAGCACAGCAAACCACCAAGCATTTCAGTGCCTCGCAAGCGCTAGATTTGCTCCTAAATTATTCTGTGAACATGCAGCCTGAAAATGTGTGAAGACAGGTGTACTGTTCGGCCTCCGCCTAAGCAGGGGCTGCCTACACCACTGCCTTTTCTTTTGGGGTTGTTGCTATTTTACAGCTGTGTGTGAATCTGCCTTAATAACCTGGTTCTCATTGTGTCTCTTAGGTCAGCTCAGGGATGAGGCATGATTGGAGTCTAAACAAAGACAGTTCAATACCCTTGGTTGCTGCAGATGACAGGATGTCTCTGCGTGGATGAGTAGATTCAATTCTAGTTCGGATAGCTTTGGGATCTAGAATCTAACCTCAAGAGTAGGAAGTAAAGATACATAATGAAGAATTACTATTTTCTGGGGTTTGGGAGACTTCGTTAAAATCTTCCATCATTCAAGTTCAGCTAGAGTGTGCTTCATTAATTTTCTCTGTTTCTGCCTCTGTTTTTCGACAAACTCTAATTTGTTAGTCTGCTCATTAATATTTGTAGAAATATATTTTGTATTTGGATACAACATGATAATATCGCTAACAGTTTGGCTGCTTTAAGAACAAACAAATAAAAGAATCATGTGAACTTCAGTTGTCTCAAATTCCCTTGACCTCCCACTGGAGGCGGAGGCCTGCAGTATTTACCAAGGGCCCTCCCCAAATGGCCTCAGTGACCAGGCCAAAGCCTAGAACCCAGAACTCCATCTTCCTGTCCCACTTAAATGCCTGGGGCCCAAGCCCTTGGATCTTTGCTGCTTTTCCAGGTACATTAGCAGGGAGTTGCTTTGGAAGCGGAGCACCTGGAATTTGATATGGCATTCTGGAGTCTGAAGAGGCAGCTTAATCCACTGTGCTGGCCCCAAAGTCAAGCGGAGTCAAGCAGGATTCTACTGCTGTCTATCACTCGACTTTTTCACATATTGTAAAGTTATGTTTCATTTACTTGGAAGATACAGAAAGAGAGAGCCATCTTTCACCCTCTGGTTCACTCCCCAGACCAGGAACCCCATGCAGTCTCCTGGGTGGGGGGTGAAGATCCCAACTTTTCAGCCATCACAGCTACCTCCCAGGGTGAGCATTAGCAGGGATTAGAATGGAGAGCGCAGTCAAGACGCAAACCCAGGTACCCAGGATGTGATAAACTACTATGGCAAACACCTACCCCAGGTATTTCTTTTTTTTTTAATAAAAGGTTTATTTGTTTACTTATTTGGAAGGCTTAGGGCATCAGAGAAAGGGAAAGACAGATCTGCCATCTGCCTGTTAACTTCCCAAAATATCGCAACAGGCAGGGCTGGGCCAGACGAAAGCCAGGAACTCCATCAAGTCCTCAGATGGGTGGCAGAGGTCCAGATACTTGACATCTGCTGCCTTCTCAGAAGCAGAGTACCTTGGACTCAAACCAGCACTCCAATTTGGAATAAAAGCATTACAAATGATGGCATAGCCCTGTGTGCCACAGTACTGGCCCCTCCCATGTGTTTTTAGTATGCACAGTTAATGTGGGATATTTCAATACCTGTATGCAACGTGTAGGACACCTTTTTTTTAATTATTTAGACATTTTAGATTAACATGGAATACTTGCACAATGTGACTTTTAAACACGTGGGTTGATTGCTTATCTTGACTGTTGTAAACGGTGCTTCAGTGAACATGGAAGTAGAGGTACCTCTTTCCCATACTGGTTCCTTTTCCTTAGGTTATACACCTAGAGGGGGAGTGGCTGGCTCATACTGTAGATCCACTTTTAGTTTGAATAACCCCCAACTGCTCGCCAGGATACACATCTTACATTTTAAATTTATAAACGAAGGGAAGATTTGTTTTTGTCTTAAACATAGCATATAGTGAAGTGCCAGTAAATCTGAGGAAATGGTAAATGGGAGGTGGTGAGCCAGTGCCTGGATGCTTTGGGAGAAACAAAGTCACAGGAGCCAGACCCCAGATGTAGCTCTCAGTGTGCACCTTACTGTCCTTACTGTTGCTTGTCTTCAGCTTGGATTAAGCTCAGCTATTGGACACTTATTCCAGCCAAGTAAAGGACAGCGAGCAAATCCCACAGCTGTTCATCAGGCGAAGAGCTTAGCTTGTCCGTGGCCCGGCGTTCCTCCCCACGGTGTCTCCAGGAGAGCACATTCATGTAGAATGCGCCAGACACTTTGCTTCTGCACAGCCCACCCCCCCCCCCCCCCCCCCCCCCGCTTGCTTCTCACCCCACCCTCGCTTCTCACCCGCAGCCCTTCCTAGTGGAGACCACACCAGTGGAGAGGGGGCTGGTGCATGAGAGACCGGCACAGAAAGGTGACTGCCGCCTTTCTCCCCCACACGTGTCCTATCTTGTCCCCCAACAAGAGTCTAACGTCTTGATCTGTGAGCTTTTTTTTTTTTTTTTTAATTCACATTAACCCGTTTGTCTAGTACACTAGGAGGTGAGCTCCTGCTGCACCGAGGCAATTTTCCAGGTGCTGAACTTTTACAGATTCTCAAGGGCCCTTCCAGGATCCGCCACCCAGACACCGGCTGCGGCTTCCGGAGAGACTCGGCCTCCAGCCTCACGCCGAGTAACCTATTCAAATGCCTACCTTTGGGTCTCCTCACTTCCTGTGCCAGGAGCTTTTGTCTGAGCCGATTGACTTCTTTCTTTAGCAAATTCCCTTGACCTCCCGCTGGAGGCGAAGCCCTGGGCCCCGGGAGGCCTTCAGTATTTACCAAGGGCCCTCCCGCGTTCTTCTGCCTGTCTGGCCGTCCTCTGCTCTCACCTTTGGGGATGCAGCCCTGGCCTGTTTTTTTTCTCTCCTGCAGACAGACGCCAGGTTTTCTGAATAGCAGGATTATTCACAACAGTTTGAACCTTGGCCTTTACCCCAGATCCGGGACCCTGAGGGAGGCCTGCACTCCTCCCACTTCCGAGCCCTGAGTCTGTGTTGGGGAACCCCAACCCACTCCACCTGGCGGGCTTTTCCCCCTGCAGGGACAAATGGAATGGATATGGAAATGCAAGCTGAAAGATCCAGACACTGGATTTTAAAAACAAAGATAATCAAGTAGGTGAATGAAATATGATACTGGAAGTAAAGTCCTCCAGTGAGGAGAACAAGATTCCCTAAGGGAAAGGATATGAAACCATCAGGAGGCTCACAGGTGAATTTGTAATTTTCTTCTTGCCTAATCTATTATGTTAGCTTACATTCTTGGTAGTCCTGCGACCAAAAAAAAAAAAAAAAAAAAAGAAGAAGAAGAAGAAGAATGAGCCAGAAAACCTTAAATCCTTAAATTTGCACCATTTCCCTGATTTTGGCCATTTTTCCATCCTAAGTTATACAGAGAGTAGATGCTGCCTTAACATGTATTAGCTTTCCTCTCAGTATTGTTTTTACGTTTTCAAGTATTACCTATAAAGTCTTTGGAACATAAAGACTATTTGTCTTTTTAAGTCAGTTCCCTACTAGTGCTTTTATAAAGTAGCCAGTAATGAATTCACATTTAGCCATGAAATGAGCAGGGACAGAGGTTGGTGTTGTGACATAACAGGTAAAGCCGCCACCTGCGATGCTGGCATAGAATCCTGGTTGCTCCACTTTCAATCCAGCTCCCTTGCTAATGGCCTGCGAGATGTAGTCAGCCTGGCCAGCCCTGGCCATTGCGGCCATCTAGGGAGTGAGTCAGTAGATGGAAAATCTTTCTCTCTCTCTGTAACTGCCTTTCAAGTAAATAAATAAATCCTTTTTTAAAAAAGATTTATTTTATTTATTTGAAAGAGTTACAGAGAGAGAGAGAGGTCTTCCATCCACTGGTTCACTCCCCAAATTCCCGCAAAGTCTGGAGCAGAGGCGATTTGAAGCTAGGAGCCAGGAGCATCTTCTGGGTCTCTCACATGGCTTGAGCCATCCCCCACTGCTTTCCCAGGCCATAGCAGAGAGCTGGAATGAAAGTGGAGCAGTGGGACTGTCGTCCATATGGGATGCCGGTGCCGCAGGCCACGGCTTTAACCCGCTGCACTACAGTGCTGGCCCCAATAAATAAATCTTAAAAAAAAAAAAAAAAAGACTGAAACATCATTAGAGTTATCATAACTTTAAAAAAAAGTGAAATCATCAGGGATGAAAGAATTGGCCAACCCAAAAATAGTGTGCCATTTCAAGCCAGTTTTCTATTCTGTTTATGAATTGTTCCATTTCTTAAAACATCAGTTATCTGACTTAAATAGTTTATCTAACTTAAATGAATGTCAGATGTTTATAGCAGCATTATCTGCAGTGGCAAGTAACCAAACCAGAAACAGAAAAAGCCTAATTGTGATACACATGTAATGTGTGATATTACACAGTCAGTAAAATGAATGAGTCACATCTAAATTTGCTGATGGCAAAAGATTATGTATGATACATCAGGTAGAAAAGCAAGTGGCAGAACAAGTGATGTAATCTCATTTGAATAGAAAAACAAAGATAACATCAAAGTTAACAGTGACTGTCTCTTTGAACTTTATGTGAGGATACCTTGCTTTAATGTTCTATGTATAGCTTTTTTTCCTTGAATGACAAAGTCACGCAGAGACAGCAGTTTTAGAACCCAAAAACTTAATCTCTCCCCATCATTTACCTGAATCGCTTTTTGTCTTTTTTTCATAACAGAAATGTTTTGATACAGAATATTCAGGAAGGAAAAGGTCTCAACTTTGGCTAATATATCCAAGGAAAATAAATCTTACTGTTTGAATGTAATTGCTATCCTGAACTTCCAAGATTATTGCAAATAGAGATTTCAAATTTCTGATGTGTGAAGAGGTTGAAGGAGTAATGGTAAGTAAAAAAAAAATGCTTTTACAAGATAATGTGTAGTATGAATCTATTACAATTGATATCAATAACAAATCAGATACAAACAACCCATAGCATATCTGTATGTGTGAATTGATGTGATTATCAGATTAACCCATTATTTATCTCTCTATTGCTTAATTTTTTGGTAGCAAATTTCTTTTAGTTTTGCAAACTGCCCAATCCTTTAAAAAAAAAACCCAGATTTTCTTTGGTTCCTTGCTGA